GGTAAAAGAGTAAAGAGGTCCAACATGAGATCCTAAGTTCGAGTCCCCTAAGCACGGCCACTGAGGGAATTTACTCAACTGTTCACTTTAGGGTCTCGGAGGATTAGTTGAGATGCGCGCAAACTAACTTGAACACACCCATTCATAAAAAAAATTAAAAAAAAAATTGTGGCGGCAATATTAGTATAACGAAATATTGATTAATTAGTCGTAAACCATTAAGTACAAGTGAACAAATTAATTTCCAATTCTAAACTATCACTTGTTAATTTGCAAATCGAGAGAATGAACTCTTGTAGAAGGATTTAATAGTTCCATTAATTCGATCAATTAATCGTCTTTGAGTAATACATAAATCACATAATGTAGCCATTAATTATAAAGTGGGACTTCTGATTTTTCAGTAATTTGGAATACATAATCTAAGAAGCTCAAATGGGGAGGATCCAATCTCCATAAAAATTATTTCTTAGTTTATTTGTCCATATTTATAATATTAGATCTTAGAAGATAGATTTAATGACACTATTATAAGAGTCAGAATTTAAGAAATTATACGTTTCTTTAAAATTCAAACATCTTCGAATAGATTTTTTGGAATTTAAGAAATTACATAATGTTTTTTGAGAAATATTGGTTCATCCTTTATTTATCTTGGGTTTTATGGGCTTTAACTTCTCTTTGGACTGTCAAAATAAACCTCATTATTGGGTCTGAGCCCATTTTTTTATCATTATCAAGTTAAGTTTTTAAAAGAGCAAATGACATATTTCCATTTAGAGAAATCCCAAATTGATATCCCTGATTCTATTTATTACTGATTTCTATCTTTATAGTAACGTCATTTCCTTTATTTTAACTAATTCCCAATTTTTTACTGTAGCAAGGCACATGTTAGCATGCTAAAGTGTGTTGACGCTTTCTTTAGCCAAGAAGAGCTTATGTTAACAAAGAGAGGCTCACGTTAGCAGCATCCAAGTCAATGGTTTTTTGCTTTTTTTGATTGATTCCAAAGTCCAAAATCACTTTTGAGACCACCGTTTGACTACCCACAACCTCCTCTATAAAACTCATACATTCACCCGCCGACCTCATTCACCATTTTCGATTACCTTCAACAATCACTAAGAGACTAACAGTGTTAGTTTAAGGGTGAGAACCTGAAATAAATACAACCGAGAGTATCAACTTAGGATTTTGCTAAATCTCTGGTGGAAATATGTCGTTTACTCTTTTTTAAATGTTAAATTAAGTTGCTCTTTTAAAAAACACAAAAAAACAAAATCATCTTTAATAATTTATTACTGGGTATTTTATTCTATCAAACAATCAATAACTTTTTTTATATGAACTCTTAAGCTCCAAATCTAGATTCTAGTTGAAAATGTCAATCCAAACAAATCCTAAATTAAGATCCACTATTGTAATCAACCTGTTATCTATCAAAACTAACCAACAGACAGACAGACAAAAACATGAAGAACTCAATCATCAAATCAAAATACAGAAACTAAATTTATTGGTGGGCACTAACTGTTTCCAAAATCCTCCCTTTTAATATTATAAAAAACATATGAATCTCGTTTGCCTAGCAAATGGCAGAGTGCCAAACGCACATTAAGAGAGGTTTAATGTGGGTTTTCATATATATATATATATAGACAACCCTGAGGTTTAGTGAGAGAAACAAAAAGATCCATAAGTTTCATAATAAACACTTACACTCTTGTAGTTTCAAATTAGAACCTTTACACCCTGACAGACACTTTGTGAAAAGTCAATTCGGACACAAAGTTTTGGTACAATGATTGACAAATATACCTTTATTTTATATTTTCTCCAAGGGGTTTAGTCATATATAGCCAACTCAATAATCACAATTTCTTAAGATGTGCAAGTTTTATTTAAAATGCAAATCTAACCATAAAATCTAATAATTTATCAGTTATATCTTTAATGAAACAACAAATGATATATTGTTACTTTAGACTATGTTAGACTCGATAGTCTAGTATTTAACAATATGGTTTGACAGTATAATTAAAACATGCTAGATTATGCTAGACTTGGTAATCTAGTGTGCATTCTGGCTATTTTTGTCATAGTCATTTTTCATTAAGGATAATTAGGTTAAGTCATATGATTTTATGGCAAAATATGTCCTTTAAACAAACCCTTACTATTTTGGGAATTAAAATTAGTAAATATGGTTATATATGAGAATTTTTCTTTCTCGTACAATAGAAAGAAGCTAATATCTAACATTTTTTATATGAGTAAATGATTAAATATGTTACATGATTTAAAAATATTAAACTTTATGAGACATTCCACATCGCTTGGGAAGGACGAGCCTGAGCTGGTTAAATACCAAGGGAATCCCCCCAATGTCAATATGTGTTTTGGGCTTAAGCAAGGGTTTTTGAGCCTAAAAACAAAACTGTGAGGAGTTGGACTTTGGAGTCGGGCCACCCAGGTTGCCAGAGCAGGCAATATCTTGACAGTATTAGGTTGACTATAGGCCGGGGTGTAACAATTGGTATCAGTTTTCCAGAGCCAATCATCCCAACCAGAAGTATGCAGATAGTCAAGAGATCTCGCTTAACCTAAGAGGAATTGCAGTGAGGACACTGGATCCTAAGGGGGGAAGATTGAGACCTCTCACATCGCTTGGGAAGAAGAGACCTAAACTAGTTAAATACCAAGGGAATCCCCAAAATTTCAAGACAGGTTTTGGGCTTGAGCAATGGTTGTTGGGCTTGAAAACAAAACCGTGAGAAGCTGGGTTTCGGAGTTGAGCCACCTAGGTTACCAAAACGGACAATATCTTGATAGTGTTGGGTTGTCTATATATATTAAAAAAAAAATAGTTAAATACCAAGGGAATCTCCAAAATGTCAAGACGTGTTTTGGGCTTGAGTAATGGTTCTTGGACCTGAAAATAAAATCGTGAGGAGTTGGACTTCAGAGTAAAGCCACCTAGGCTACCAAAATGGACAATATCTTGACGCCATCTAAAAAAAAAAAAAAATTGTTTTCATTAACATCATTGAATTACAAGGGTGTAAGTGTTTCATCGTGAACCCGCAAGGGTGTAAGGATTCCATTTTGAAACTTATGGGTCTCTTTTTGTCTCAACTCTCAAGGGGTATCCATGGAAAAACCTCCACATTGAGTAGAGGTTTTAATAAAGAATTAAATAAGAATGCATGCCACCTCAAACTCAATACTAAAATGATGTAAATGATAGTGTCTTGCCTTGGAAGACCAACCCCCATATCTTTTGTGGCGCTACTCAATTTCTGGAAAAAAGCAAAATTTAAAGGTGGCAAGATTATAAACAGATAATATTGGCTCTCTGTCTCTGAGCACGGGCTGGCATTGCCATCATCCTTTGCTTTAACTTTTTCTTCTTCAAACACTCACCAACTCATCATCTGTTTGTTTCGTTGTCCTTTCATTGGCTACTTATCTCACTGTTAATTTAGAATGAAACAAAATGATGACCTCAAGATTGCTTTAACTCAATGGATACATCAAGATTGCTGGTTTTATCATACCATGCGCTGTAATATTAACAGTCATTTCAGAGCATCTTATGAACAACAAAAGATCATGAAGAGATATGATAAAAGTGTAAAAAGCAAACAAAAAGATTATTCTCAACTTTGATTGATTGAATCTTTGAATAAAGATATACGTTAACCCACCATTTTTATACGTAATAGAATAGAATCTCCAGCAGCGAAGGTGTTGACGAATTCACAACTCTTATCTTTAATTTACCTTTCGGAAAGCTCCAAAGAAAACCAAATTCCTGAGGCCTTTTTCCATTTCCCATGAGCTTTTAAAACACTTTCGACCTGGAAACAATATTCTACTCTTGCTTAGCTTAGCTACCTACTGTCAATTTCTGGCATATTCATATTATTTTAGCTTTGATGTTCTGTCGATTCTTTATGCTTTGTAATGTTGTCCCAGAAAAACCCCATTTACGTGTCGGCCATTGATTTGAATTCACATAAAACAGTTTTGATGCCTGCCTGGCTTATCGAATACGACCTCTTGTACAAAATTGGCCATACTCTAAATTTAACTTAATAATAAAGTAAACTTTTCATTCCCTTGATTCTTTCTCTAGGGATTGTATGATCATAGTAACACTTGAAATCCCTTACAAATTAAAATATTATAGAAATTGCTTCATCTGATTACAAAATATTTACATAGAAGTCTTACCGCATCATCTAACTAGCGCGGTGAGACCATCCAATAAAATAGTGGTATGTGTAGTTATATATATGTCAGATTTCTCTTTCATATGTCTGTTAATATTACAATTGATCCATCTTTTATCTTTATCTTTTTTTTTTTTTTTAATGATCGAGAGTGTTCGGACCAATTTACATGCACTTCAACAAATCTCACAGGATCTTAGAACTATCAGTCGAGTAAAAGTTCCAATGGCAACCATATTAGCAACCAAAAAGAAACTCGAACTCAAAATCTTTGAGTAATACATCCAAGAGTCCCTATTGAACCACTCAACCACCCAAGGATTGGTTCATAACTACCCTTTATCATTTATCATTAATTACCAACATGATGAGTCTGTTATTGAATGATATCACCACGTCAATCAGATAACGACGTGATAAGACTGTCTTATATAAGTTTTTATTGATATTACGTTTATAAAATTATTTTTTAAAATTTGTTTTACATTTTTAATTTTAATATTATCTTATATAAGATGGAAAAAAAAAAAAAAAAAAAAATTTTGAACCGTTTCTACTAATTCCACACCTAAATAAGTAGGAAGAGAGGGATTGAAATAGGGTCCACGTGTATCTTATAGGATACATTACTGATTACACACACACCCCTCACAACTCAATGAGTTAACTTCTCCACGTACGTTACCTAACTTTTTTAGTTTGACCCATCAAAACGCGGAGCAGTTATTCCTCCACAACAACTTTGCATTTACGAAACCACCCTCAAAACCATAACAAATGCCGAAACTCTCCCCCGCGTCTCTCAAGAACTTTCCCTCTCTTATATAACCGAACCCATTTCTCGCTCTCTGGGTCTGTTTCTATGTGAACACCAACAACAACTACCAAAACCAGGAGCTCCAAGAAGAAGAAGAAGAAGAAGGTGGTGAAAGGAGGATCATAATAATAAAGATGGGAAGCAGTAGCAGCAGCACAAAGAGTAAGAGATGGGTTCTGTTCAAGAGGTTAATAAAGAGAGAGTCGTTGAGATGGAAGTTCTTGGGGAAGTGGAAGAGGCTGAATCTCCAACTATCTTTCATTGATGATATTCTCTTCAAGTTTGTATCTGTATTTGAAGCTGTTGTGTTGGTTGTCACTCTTTGTTTCTTCTTTGTTTGCTGTGGCTGCCACTTCTAATTCCTACGTATGTATTATTTTTCTTTCTTTCTTTCTTTGTTAACTGTTGTTCTTTAGTTTAGATCTCTTTAATTAAGAGGTTTTTGTGTTGGATCTGAAGGGGGGAGTAAGGGAGAATACTGAAGCTTCGCTGATTTGCATTATAAATTTTACAACTTTATTTGGTTATGTATAGAGCTAATGCTTATTATTAACATGAACCTTCTTCTTCTTCCTCCTGTAATTTGAGAAAGCTTGGCTGGTTGTCTGCAAAAGAATATATATTATATTCTATTTCCATATTGATTCTACTGTAGTTCAACTCAAATATTTTTCAGATAAACGAGGCAGCAAACACAGTCAAAATAACAGTGGAAATGTGTGATGAGTTTGTATTATTCTTTTAAGGCCATTACATGCAGCTTATTCGAGGCTCAACCGCTCAACCATCTAGTAACTTCCTTCTTCCCACTTTTGAAGTCGATTACAGAGATAAAAAAATTCCCTTTCTTATTCAATTAAGTTTTCTGACCAACATTCATAAGACTAAGTACAAACCAAGTCAAATGACAGTCTGTTACCATCTGTCTCTGAAAAGGAGGGTATAATATATATATCAAGAAAACTTATAATGTAAGACATTAGTCTAATCTGAATAGTTTTTCTCTTCTTGGTGAATAACTGTGAGAATTCAAACTCAAATCTCTGTAATACATTCAAGAGTTTTAAGCGTTTAAGCTACTAAAGCTAGTAAGAGATCCGTTTAAGCTACTAAAGTTAGAGGTAGTTTAATTGAATAGTTCTACCTATGTACTTAATTATCCAGCATTTTGACACAAAATACCAATGAGATTCATTGAATAAATTGACTAGGCACCCAGAAAGATGTCCAGTCTGTTCCGGTTGTACTGTTCTGGCCTGGGCCTGCAAAGAAAACTACAGTATTGAAAAGTTGGACTTTGAAACTACATACGCTGATACGCGTCCAAAACTCGTCCAAATTGGTATTCTTATTGTTCTTGAAATGCGCATCTGCAGGAAATATTCAAGCCAACCCAACACGTTACATGAACGTGACCCCATCAACTTACATATGCACTCACGCACGCACGAGGTACACTAGAATTGACGATTACAAAATTTTCCAAAGTAAATATACAAATCCAATCTCACTATGAGTCTGGCCTATTGGGAGTACTGTTTGTAACCCCATTTTTAGAATTCAAACATTAATTTTAACTACTTTTCAATTAAGTTGAAATTCAATCTAAACCTGATTGTCTGTCACCTGGGAGTTCCAGCCATGGATGGAGACCATATTATCATCTCTAGCAACACCGGCGTATTGTTGCACCACCAACACTGAAGATCTTGCAAAATCTGAAAACACCAACATATCTCCAATCGCTCCAATCTCTGGACACTTGCTCCATTCTAACATACCAGCCGTGATTGATGTCTCTATAACTTGTCTTCCTACAATGTACAAGTCAATCTTACCGTGATCCATCCCTCTTAACACTGTTATTGTCTCTTCTGCATTCTTCACCATCTTCTCTTTGTAATTCACTCGTGGCTCTCCCTCTGTCCTCGCCCTGAACTCGTTAATGAATTCTGTGTCAAGCTGTGTTTGATTCTGAATGTCCGGGGAGTATTCTGTTTCTTTTGTACTCGTTCCGGGGTGTAGCCGCACCACTGCTAGTTTAATCGCGTGCTTTGAAGCAGACATTCTCCAGGCATATGCTAGAGCCTCACGGTCGTCCGGACCACCGATGAAAACCATGACTAAACGCTGGATACGGTGCTTGGTATCATCAATTGTGGGTACAGGTACTTCTCGATGAACGAAGATGCCCACTGAGCAGGGAGCATTGTTTAAAACATTCGAGTTCACCTCGCGAAAAGATTGGCTATTGTTTTCCATGGGGATGTTATACCCAAATTGTCTATGAAAAGGAAGTATCATGAAAGCAATGTTTTTGTCATCAGCTAGACCGCATACAACATCATGCATGTTCTTGAGAGGGGACAATACAGTGAGGGTTTGAACTGAGATGGCTGCATGTTGGCTTTCAAAGTTTTCAAGCATGTTGATGATTTGGTCGGAGGAGGAGTCGTCGATGTGTTCGTGCGTGTAGCCTCCGTTCTTGAGCGTGTCATGGACAACGACCAGGGCAGAAGAACGGGCGGGGGCGTCCACAAAGTAGGGAGCGAAGACGTATATAGGGGATTGTTTGGTGGCATTAGAGATGTCAAGGAGGTTTATTATGCCTGATGTGTTATTGACTGAGTGGAGGCACGCCAGGACTCGAAGTTCTGCACCTATTTTCGCTCGTTGTATGGTTCTTCTCTGGAATTGTTTCTGACGTCTTGAGGGCTTATATATGGAAGCCAGGATGGGTTCCACCATGCCAGTCATAATCACAATTGCCAACATTATCACAACATACTCTTCTTCACTCAAAACCTGAAAAAATCGTACCCACATAATTATAAGACTATTCCATTACAAACTTAATAAGATTTAATATGTTTACTGTTTGTTTTGAGCATAGAGGGGAAGAAGAGAGAGTACCTTTTTATCCCAGCCCAGATTGAGGATGACTAAAGCCAAGATCCCTTTGGTGTTCATAAGTATTCCGAGAGGCCAAATTTTTTCAGTGGGCACGTTGAAGAGTAGAGAAATCAAGACAGTACTGAAAATCTTACAAAAACAAGTCATTACCACAATCAGGCAGACGATGTGCCAGTGATGGACATTATAGAGGTTGAATCTTCTCCCGGAAATTGCAAAGAATAACGGCAACAGAAACCCAGAAACAAACACGTCAAATTTTTCTATTAGAACAGACGCAAGCTCCCTGTTCGGCATTATAATCCCGAATACAAAAGCTCCAATTATGGAGTACGTGCCACATATCTCTGTAATAAACGAACATATCACAACCCCAATAAGGGCAAAACAAAAATAATAATCGCTGTGGAGGTCCGAGTTTCCCGTGAAAGTCCGGCGAATAATCCACCTGAGAGCTGGACGGATGACATATATACATAGTAATATGAAGGCAAGGGTAGAAGTAATAGGAGACTGCGAATTCTCGGGACTCAAACGTATTGGTAGAACAATAACCACGAGAATCCAAGAACAAACATCATTCATCTTGGCAACGGACTTGGCCATTTTTCCAATACCAGAATCGAGAAGCTTGAGATTTTTCAAAATGTTAGAAACCACAGGGAAGCCTGTAACAGTAAGGGCGAGACCCCAAAACAAGCAGCCAGTGGGCTCAGTGTGAAAATTCAAGAGGCGTTGAGCGAGAAAAAACAAACCAATTCCCATTCCCATAGGAAGCAATACTGCACCACAAGCGATTTTAAATTCTCTCCTGGTGGCGCGTCTAAGAGAATATACATCCATTTCCAAAGCCATCAAGAATATGTATAAATCAAGAGACAAGTATCCCACTGTCTCTAATGTAGTTACTGTTTTTAAAGGAAAAAAATGGGAGAAGAATTTTGTCTTCCCCAAAAAAGAGGGACCTATCAACACACCAACCTATACAAAATAAAATACAATTAATCAATCAGATCATGTAAAGGAAAATGACACAAGTAAACGTTTCTGAAACTTACGAGAATGTCAGTGACAAAACGGGGTTGATGGAGAGGTTTAAGGAGGATGATGAGGGAGTTATTTATGAAGATGATGAAGGCAAGCTGCACAAGAAGAGAAGGGAGGGAATCGGTGAGGGGGTTCTCACCTTGCCAGAGGCCACTTGTGGAAGTTATATTCAAAATAAAACATGCCTCAGAAACATTTACTTCGTACTTGTGGAGGTCATTTTGTGAATGCTCATCCATTTTTCTGTGTTTATCTTCTCCGATCTCAGCTTCTTATCAGAACCATCCTGCACAACTTGTTAATGTCTAAACCGAACACAAGTTAAAATTAGTTCTTGTTATGCCCAACTTGAAGTGAGTTGGTTTAGATTCCACCTTAATTTAGTTCTCACATTTGTGTAACCCTTAGTCATTCAATTGGTCAAATTCGTGATGGATGACATGTCGTCTTTCACTTTTATTTTCACAACTACAGTACTCTCTTGGTCCTCTTGGAGCTGGAGTATGAAGAGGCCATCTCGTGTCGTCATCGCATATGTGGACGCAATGTCGTCTTTACTTTTGCTGTGACATGCCGCTTTCTACAATAGCCACAGAAATAGTGAAATACTACAAACAACCGTCCAGTCCCTTTGGTTATTGATAAAGATATCCATTAAAATATATACTGTATTGTTAATTTCAGGGTCCTAAAATATTAGTCGAGACAGTGTATACACAAGCTAAGTCGAACACTTCCGGTCAAAACAAAAAAAAAAAACTATGGACAACTGGGTAAAGTAAAACAAAGGAAAAAATCAACACTTTTGTCTTATAATTTTCATATAAAATATTCTAATCACGTTAGTTAGCACTAGTTAATTACTGAAAAATAATTTGAAGAAACTTTTCTCTTATCAGTAAAAAACAAAAAATTTAGAATTGGGTGGTTGAATTTTAATTATGATCTTTTTACTTGTAAGATATAGATAAACGCACCAAAATATCTTAGCTTTGAATGAAACAGTAGTTTTAAAGCGGCCAAAAACCTCTTATCTGTTCATTTCTCCAAGTTATCTACGCTTGAGTAAGAGATTTGAGAGATGCATTCCTCAATATGCATGCCACTTTCACCTTCTTCTCAGTCTTTATTACTGAAACCATTCAACAATCCTCTTCTGGGTACTTTTCCTTCTGCTAATAAACAACAATCTTCATCCCTGAAAAAAGCAGCTTCTTTCACTACCACTGCCCTTCTCTCCACTACCAAAGACTCGGTCTTGAAGGAGTTCCATCAACGAAGAGCTCTCAAGGTACTTACCATTATAATTTATTCCCCTTTTACTTGTGTAGAAACTGGCTGCTTAGAATTATAATATGTCTTGAAATTTGGATGTAATTGGGACTCTGCACTTTTGCAGATTATATCTGGTTTGCAGAATTTTGATACAGACAATGTTGCTTCAGTTGTTACTGCTGCGGACAAGGTTAGTTTTTCCAGTTACATTAATTAAATTGTTCTGAAAATTGACACTTCACGGTTATTGCAGGGAGGAGCAACTCATGTCGATATAGCTTGTGACCCTGAGTTGGTGAAGTTGGCTGTCAGCTTAACTTCTCTTCCTGTAAATTCTTATTCCTTCTTAATCTTTAAAAGGGTTCATTCTTTTCTCGAATGAAAACACTAATGAATATGATTTCCAGGTTTGTGTTTCTTCCGTGGATCCTGCACAATTTTTAGCTGCTGTTGATGCTGGAGCACTAATGGTTTGACCAAAACTGTACTTGAATTCTTCTTACTGCCATGCTAATGGATTTAAAATAATGATTTGGTTAATGTGGTGTTGAGTTGATGGCCTATGCAGGTGGAGATTGGAAATTATGATTCCTTTTATGAGAAGGGCAGGTATTGAGATTAACAAAAAGTGGTGTCAAAGTACCAATTTCTTAAAGCAATTTGAGCAAAGCCCTCATAACTCTTGTTGTTGTATGTTTTCAATTTGTAATTCTGCTGATTGCAGATACTAAATCTAACAAAGGAGACTAAGAGGATTCTTCCATCTGTGACTCTATCAGTCACTGTGCCTCACACGCTTAGCCTCCCTGATCAGGTTACAAACACCGCTTTTGCCTCGAGAGTTTTTGAGTCCATATTTAATGCTCCATTCAATTTGATACAAAGCAAGCTTTTGCATATTCAACAGGTCAAGCTTGCAGAGTTGCTGGAACAGGAAGGTGTTGACATCATCCAAACTGAGGGAGGAAAATGTTCCAGTCCTTCAAAATCCGGCGTTCTCGGATTGATCGAGAAGGTAAAAATACGCAACACAAACACCGTTGAAAGGAAGTCTCTCTCTGAGTCTTCTGGACATTAACATACTTGGATGAATTAAATGCAACTCTTAAGGTTTTCTGGGCAGTCCCGTAGATTAATAGTGAAGTTAGTTTTTATCCTAGATTTTGACAACCAAATCTGTTGATTATAGGCATCACCAACACTAGCCGCGGCATATTCTATTTCAAGGGCAGTCAAGATTCCGGTGATGTGTGCATCTGGAATAAGTGTAGTTACTGCACCAATGGCCATTACAGCTGGAGCTGCCGGCGTGGTATGTACAAACTTTAATAATCTAATTCTGAATCTAGTGAACCATTTATCTGTTATATCTCAGACAAATAAACTCATATCGGTGATGTTTTTAATATAGGGCGTCGGCTCTGCAATTAACAAGCTAAATGATGTTGTTGCGATGGTAGCAGAGGTCCGAAGTTTAGCTGATTCACTAAGCATGTCAGCTAATAGAATAGCTGTGCCTGAGGAAAAATCTTTCAAACTGTAAAACATACAAAAATTTTGAAGCCCCTTTCAACCTTTCTTCTCCACTTCCTGCATTTGCTAGCTAGTAATTAAAAATAAAAGCAAGTGTATTGAACTCACTCAAGCAGAGTATTTTGTTCATCAATTTTCTGCTTACAATGGAGGGTAGATGAACTCAAGAGACATAAAAGGGTAGGTTGCACCAAATCAATTGAAGTTTCACAGGATTTCTTCTGATATTGCCAGTCCAGCATTTCTTTAATAATAATCATAATGCTTTGTAGGCATATTGATCTGCTAATCATGTAATGACAATCTAGCAAAATGTCTCTCATTCTCACTGACCCTCGCAGAATGAACTTCTCTTGTTCCACTGTCAGATCTTTGGAACAGAAGTAACACTTAAAAAGTTATAAGAGATAGCGAGGATTTGATGTAACTCTTAAAAATATTAAGAATAAAAATCACTGAAGCCTAATCCCAGCTTTACAACTGCTTGGCAACAGCTTTATATCATAGTGTCAATGAGGATTCTCTCAAGAACACAATTTTGATTATAATCACATTAACTGTCAAATCCTCTCTGTAGTGACCTAAATGCAACTGCCAAACAGTAATTTACAAATGAAAATACAGACATTAACAAAATCAATGCAAAAGATAAACCAATAGAGACCGCGTAAAGTAATTACAACTACTAGCCCATGTACCTCCTACTCCCATTGAAATAATGTTCTTCTATTACAACAGCAATCCTTTAGGCATACTCATCAAACTCCGAGTCATCTTCAGTTTCTGGGCCTTCACCACTTTCCTGCAAGAATATATTGATGGAAGATAATTTGTTTAATATATTTGATTGTGCAACTAATGAACATTACATAATAACAATGAAAGCAAGCGTTTTACGACATTTGAAAGAAAATGCATAGCAGGTACCTGTCTTTTGATATAATCTGCCATGGCTCTGTCAAACTCTGCTCGTTTCTCAGTGGCTATATCATAATATTGAACTTTTTCCTACAGGTAGAGAATACAGATTAAAGGCTAGACAGCTCTACCAACCACTTTTATCATTTCAATCTTAGCAAACAATTAAGCGATATATCATAATATTTTAAAATATTCTTTTGAAAATGGATATGTTCCAAGGAAACATCCAAAAATAAGAAAACCACAATTATACTTTCATGATTTCATGCATGTGCACAGCTAAGAACATACATCAAAAGCATTTATTTTGTTCATGTGTTGTCCAATTAAAAGATAAACATAACGCACCTTCTATACAAAAAATTTAGATGTTTGTGGCCAAGTCCATCTTATAAATGTGCATGGTCTGGGTCTGTACTAAAAACATAACTAATGTTGTACTTTTACTCCTTTCCTATCAAACTTACAAATAATAAATGTGTTTGCTAACACCTACTCTAACTCTTGAAATTAATAGTGCAGACTTATTTGATAATGAAAAGTTCACTTCAAATAAATCTACCAGTACTTTTGATGAACAGAACACCCAACACACAATTATCAGGGAGAATAGAAAGGCGTATTTGTGATGAGATACCACATAAAGTATCCTTATTTATGTTGATAAAATTTGCAGAACATCATAAAATAGAGATAAAAGGAGCCCCTGTAGATTCTTGAGATGAACCCAGAGAACTAGCAAGGTGCTAGTATTCTCAATGGCAGATTAATTGTCAAAAACATTCTGATAATTGACCGAAACACAATCAAGATAAATTTTAGTCACACGACATACCAGAATGACTAACAAGCAACTATAAACTATTACAATAAGATCAAGGTGAAGAGGAAAATATATACTATCAATGAGAAGAGTAAATTCACTTTTAGCTCACATGAAAATCCCATTTCATTTAACAGAACTGAGGTAGATTAAGACACATCACATATTGATAGCGAAAAACAATTGAACCATAACACTGATGAAAGCCAGCAGAACTTTATCGTTGTACATGAACAATATGATATCAGGGGATTTATGTAACAAATAATAAATTAATATGATGATTATTTGTAACTCTTATATCCATAGTATCTAAGAAAATCCTATTTAGTTCACACACTCCAAACAAAATAGGTGGCATTAATCCAGGCAATACTGAACCGCAGAAGATGCTTAGGCCTTAGAGACAATCTATAATTGGTACTACAAAAACACCATGTCCATCCTATACACCAATGGAAAATTATACTGAACTAAACAGGTGATACAAACCTCATAAGTCATAGTTTTCCACTTCTCTCCACATGCCTTGCCAATCTGAAACCAAAAGATAATATAGTTCATTTACCATAAGAGAGAGAGTAAAAGTGATAAATTATAAGAAAACAAGAGAAAGAGAAAAAGAGAGAGAGAGAGAGAGAGAGAGAGAGTGATAAACTACAGGAAAATGATCCAGTACATACAACACGCATTGACTTGACATCTGGATTCTGCTCTTGAAATTCTTTACGAAAATCCTCCCTTGAAAATCAGAGAATAATTTAGTTAAGAAATTCATATCCTAAAGAAATTATGGTTTTGCATATAGCAGATAATAACTTCTCTAAAACTTATAGTTAATATGCTTCAAATGAGCCATAAAGCTTATAGGTATCATGCTTCAATTGAGGCAATACTGATCATTTACCAGAATAAAAGAAGTAACTAAGGGTGATTTTAAAATCAATGAAAAGAAAAGTGAGTATAGCCAGACAAATTAGCCCCATTAAATTTATAGAAAAAAGTTTGTAGCACTAACTTATAATGCTTCTAAAAGTGCAGAAGATCTAGAGCACATAATAGGTGAATTCAACCAAACGTCACTGCAAAAACTTCCCAGTTATAAGTGATGAAAATAAGATGGGACATGAGCAGAGATAACTAACAGAAAAACCATCCCGAAGAGCACAATCAACTTACAACGCACTGAGATAAGTTTTGACTTCATTATGCAAGATGTAGCCTAATGCAATATACTAATTAAGCAACTGTAAATAAGTCAAACAACTCAAGAATGCACTAAAGCAGGACAAGTCTCTCAAAACCAAGCTTTTATCTGTAATTAACAACTAATAAATCTTGTTTCCTTTACTGTGCATAGACAAAATCCTGTCAATTTACACTCTATTAAAAGAAATCTCCATTTCATTAGAGTTCTCATGTCATCCTATATTACCACTTCACTTCTTCCACACTTTCCATTTGCTTCTTGTTTTTTTACACTTCATAAACTAAGAGCTACTTAGATAATTAAGAATAAATACAAAAAATAATAATAATAATAATAAACCAAAAACAAATATGTAAATAAATAAAAAGACATACAAGAAGTAGAAGAAAGCAGTAGGGGGTTTCTTAGGCTTCTTAGCTTCGAATTTGTCATGTTTCTTCTTATGCTTCACTGAAAGTTTCTTTGCTGAGCTGGCACTCCTCTCTTTCTCTCCGCTAACAACACTCTGCCGTTTTCTCAACACCATTCTCCTGCACAATTCGAAGTAACACGCCGTTTAGTAAAAAAAAAAAAATTATAAGAAGAAGAAGAAGAAAGTAATAGATAATTATACTGATTGGAGGGTGAGGAAGCTGAAGATGACTGAGATTCCGTTGCTTTCTTCGCCATCTTCACTCCAGAGCTTCGAGAACTTAGTTTGCTTTGTGTCGCCTCCCCTCAACTCGTGGACACGATATCTGAGTTGTGACTTGTGAGTCGTGTGTGGTTTCTGTTTTCATAACAGAAGGGTACAAAGACTAAACGCTGCGTTTAGAGAAAATGAATTGTGATTTCAAAACGCAGCATTGGATTGCTTTTTAGTTTATTAAATGAGTTGTGTATATAATTTAATTTAATTATGGAAATTATTAATTATGTAGACTTGTTTATACAAATATTCATACGGAAAAGGATCAATTTTATACACAAAAGATTAATATTACACTCATAATCTCTTCTTACAAACTTTTTCTCACAACCTTGATGTGGTAGCTCAAAATTAGTTAACCACAATTTATCAAGCAAAATTCATTACGAACTGTCACATCGGGGTTGTGAGAGAAAGTTGTAGATGCAGCATTTTCCTATACAAAATTATAAGCATACAATTTCTTTCGAATAATGCTACACTTACAAAAATATCTATACAAAGTGATGTGACCAAAAATTAATAGAATAGTGAATATAATCAAGCTTAATGTCATTTCAAGTTTTAGTTTTGCTATTTTAATTTTAATTAAACAATTAAAATTCTTATAGTTTAAAAAAAAAAAAAAAAGAGGAAGGGTTTCCCACCCCAGTTTTTTAAATAACTTTTCAACCCCTTAAAATGAAACAATTACAAAGTTCCACCCAATTTTAAATTTCGAACATTAAATCTAATTATTAAGGGCATTTTTGTCTTTTTATCCGCATATATACATTTCTACTTCCCTAACCTTAAAGAAACCCTAATCTTTTGTCAAAGTTTTCACAAATTCAAAAAGGTCCCATTAATTGTGATGGGTATTTTTTATTTTGCTTTTTATTTTTATTTTCTTGGGTTATAGATTTAAAGTTTTGGAATTTTGATTTTGCTTTTGTTATGGTTAGCGATGAATTTGGAGATGTAAGATGAGATGAAGTTTCGATGTTTATGCGTTTGGAGAGATTTATGGTGTAAAGTTTTGATTTTGTGTAGCGTGTTGTGAAATTGTAATTGATGAATAAGAGGATATTGATGCTAAAATTTAAAACATTTCAGGTGTGTTTGGTATGAGGTAATGTTGGATTATTAAGGTAATAACATCTTATATTACTTGATTACCACGTTTCATTGTCAAGTAATATAAGATTCCGATAATTTTTCAAAACCAGTAGTAGTTACTATTGGTAATATATGAGGTAATCTGATTACCTCTATTTTTTTAGGTATTTTAAGATTTATTGGTAATCTTATTTTTGTTACAATTTTACTCCTTATTAATAAAATATTTGGACAATCATGCCCTTGTTTTAAAAACAATTTACATTAATCTACCATTACAATTTTACCCATGTTTAATTAAGTTTTTGGACAATAATGCCCTTATATTTAAAACAAATTGCAGATCATCTAACCACCACTGCCGACAGCTTGCCAACCACCACTAGCAACCACTAGAAGTAGCAAGAGTCTCCGTTAAGGCCATTTCTGGCCATATTGATGGCCAAAAACGGCCAGATGGCCGTAGATCTGGTCGTTAATGGTCATATCAATGGATCTGGTCGTTAATAGCCATATCTGGCTATATATGGCCATCAACGGCCCAATCTATCACGATTTGGCCATTTTCGGCCGACCGTGTGCCGTTGGGTTGCTGGTTGTTGGCGGTTGACAGTGGTTGGGTTGCTGGGGATGCATTCGTTGATTTTCCAAACTTTTATTATGGGGTTATTTTCGCTAAGTTTTAAATGTAGGGGGTTACAAATAATCTAAATAATAATATAACAATAATATTTAATAAGAGGGCAATTTAGTAATTTAAATAACATGCTCGCATATATAAATCTTCCCAACCAAATATATTAATATAACATATCCATCAATTTATTCCAACCAACCAAACACATTTCCCTAAACATTCACATTAATCTTCAAGATAATCTATTTTTCCATTAATATAACATTACCAGTAATACAATATTCTCAAAACCAAATGCACTCTTCTAAATATTTTAGTAACTTCAGATAATAAAGTAATTTATTGATTTAATTAATAGTTTTAAAGGGTAAAAAGAGTATTTCAATGGTCAAATCTAGTTAAAGGGATATTTTCAGGGACGTAAACTAAAGTTGGGTGGAACTTTGTAATTTTTGCATTCAAGAGATGGGAAAATGTGGTTTCGTCAAAATTTGGGTGGAAAATGTATTTCGACCACAAAATAAATAAATAAAGAGATTGTGTGGTAACATGTGTCCATCCACCGCCTTAACATGAGGCGGTGGGGTAGTCAAAAGGAGGTGGGGGGTTTTTCTATAGAAAAATAATATCCTTACAAAGACCCATACAGAGAGGGCTACAAAGTGACATCATCCAGAAGAAAAAAACAAAGAAAAAACGGAAAGAGAGAGAGAGAGAGAGAGAGAGAGAGAGAAATCATGAAAATCAAGGGTGGTGATTGTCTTTGTATGCCCCATTTGTATGTGTCTTTGTAAAACTAGCATTGCTCTTTTCTATAATACCCCCCTCCCTTTCATTCGTATATCTTACAAATATTTGAGAAGTTTTAAGTAATATCAATCAAGTCCCACAACTCTCAATTCTCTTGCTTTATCCATTCTATCTTTATTTGTTAGTTTATTTCCTATCTGAGTTAATTATTATATAACACGTTATCAGCACGAAGAGCTCAACAAATATAATGGTGCATACCTACTAAAAGTACGTATTTTCAACCCTACAAGTAGGGGTGTTCAGTTCCGGGTACCCTACACTTTTTGAAGGAACCGGAATCGGAACCGGAACCGACGGTTCCTTGAAATTTGGAACCAGAACCGGAACTGACGGTTCTGGTTCCTAGGTACCCAGAACCAGAACCTGTAACAACGGTTTCGGTTCTAGTTCTGGGTACCCTGTAAAATTACATCACCCCCCCCCCCAAAAAAAGTTTTTAAAATGGCAAAAAAAATCCTTAAAAACTTACAAATACCCCCCACCTGGCACTTGTTAACAAAAATAAAATTACAATTATAAATTCAAAATTACAAACTCCATTACTTTGTAAAGGTAGATTTTAAAAAATCAAACCAACTTACTTTAAATGTTATGAAATATAAATATAAATGTATTCACATTACTTTTTCTACAAAAGTTTTTATTAACCCCCCTAATCTTTAATTTTATTTTATATTAGTCTTGGTTCCTGGTTCCTGGTTCTGGTTCCGATTCCTAACTATAGGACCGGAATCGGAACCACACAGTAACGGTTCCAAAAATTTGGAACCAGAACCTACCCATTGACGACTGGTTCTAGGTAGGAACCGGAACCAAACCCAAGGTACCCGTCGGTTCCAGTTCCAACCGGTTCTTTTAAACACCCCTACCTACAAGCATTATTTAATTTCTATTTCCGCCTTTATGGTCGGATTTATTTATTATTGTTTAATTCCACCTCCATGGTCAGATTTATTTATTACTATTAAATTTCGCATTTATGGTCGGATTTATTTATTATTGCTAAATTCAGCCTTTATGGTTGGATCTACTTATTATTGTTAAATTCCGCCTTTATGGTCGGATCTACTTGTTATTATCAAATTCCGCCTTTATAGTTGGATCAGTTTATTATTGTTAAATGTCGCTTTAATGGTTGGACTATTTATTATTGTTATATACCGCCTTCATGGTCAGACCTATTCACTATTGTTGAATACCGCTTTCATGGTCGGATCTGTTTATTCTTGTTACTTACAATCTTTATGGTTAGATGTGTTTTTATTATATTTTCGATAACCAATGTTAGCAATTATGCTTCCATATTATATTTGATAAATGAACTTAAAGTTCCATAAATGAATATCGTTTTAGAACATGAAGTTCTAAATACTAATTACAAACATGAAGTTTGTAAAACAGAGAAAAAAAAAAAAATTGACCTGAAGTTCCATACCATGAAAATGAAGTTCTGTAAACATCATTACTAATGTAAATTTTTTTTTTTAAAGATGGACTTCGAAACTGAGACATCGATATCCAGTAATGGTGAAGACATTTGTATAGTAGATAGTGCAACAACACACACCATCCTTCGAGATAGAAAATATTTCTTAGGTTTGACCTTTATTGAGACTAAAATAAATACCATATCAGGATCTAAAAAAATTATTGAGGGCTCTGGAAGAGCAAAACTCATGTTAACAAGCGGAATTAAATTAAGTATCCATGATGCTTTATATTCTAGCAAATCTAGAAGAAATTTGCTTAGTTTCAAAGATATACAACTCAATGGATACCATATTGAAACTTAAGTGAAAATGATGGAGAATTTCTATGCATCATTGCTAATATTTCATGCCAGAAGCATGTATTGGAGAAACTCCCTGCTTTTTCATCAAGGTGATATTACACATTCCTGAAGAATGTTGAAGTATATACAGTTACGAGCCAGAAGTTCACTGATCCTAAAATTTTTAAGATTTGGCATAACCGTCTTGGTCACCCAGGATCTACTATGATGCGTAGAATCACAGAAAACTCACATGAGCACCCATTAAAGAACCTGAAGATTATGTCACCTAATGAGAGTGCTTGTATTGCTTGCTCACAAAGTAAATTGGTACTTAAGTCATCCATCACTAAAGTTGGTGTAGAATCCTCATTATTTTTACAAAGAATTCATAGGGACATATATGGACCTATTCATCCACCATGTGGACCTTTTCGCTACTTTATAGTACTGATTGACGCATCGGTAAGATGGTAACATACTTGTCTACTATCTACCCGTAATGTTGGCTCTATTAGATTGCTGACACAAATTATTAGGTTACGGGCACACTTTCCAGATTACCCAATTAAAGCAAGCCGTCTGGACAATGTTGGTGAGTTTACCTCAAAGACATTTGATGATTATTGTACAACAATGGGAATTGATGCTAAGCACCCAGTACCACATGTACATACCCAGAATGGTATGGCAGAGTCATTTATAAAGTGTATCCAATTAATTGCAAGAACTTTGTTATTGTTAGGAATTGATCTACCCAACGCAG